GGTGGTGGCGTCGGGGAGGGGAGCGGGTCCGAGCCACCCACCCCAAGGGGAGGGCGACCGGGCCGGACTCTGCCCTGGGGATTGCGGGGGCCGGGACGACCGCCGGGAGGAGCTACGGCACTGGCTCACGGCTCCAGCCTCGGATCACCTCGCTGTTCTGGGAAGAGTGGGGTCGACCCAGTGGGGCAGAGGGACAGAGGTGGGGGTGTGCACATGGTGGGCCTGGCCGGTGGCGACCGGGTTGCTGGACTCACCAGGAGAGTCCGGTGAGCAGCTCTAGAGCCTGCCAGGACTGAGGGGTTTCAGCAAGAAGACTCTGTCCACAGGCAGAGGGTTAATCCCACCTGGGACATCTCCTAGTCGCCCATTGTCATTAGTCTTAAGAGGGCAGAAGACCAGTTGGACTGGGGACTAGGAAATACCTCCCAGAAGTGCTCCAGCAATCCATGGACAACTGCCTTCAGCACTAGTGAAAGAAGGTACTCACATAGAGAAATGAGAAGCTGAGTTTATAAACCCAGGCAGGAATTTAATTATTAAATAAAAAAGGTTTCCTTTCTATCACCTGAGAGACTTTCCTCCCACCTTTTCCACCCCCATGCCTTGTGCAAAAAGGAGAAAAGGACCCCAGAGAGACCACATGTCCTGGAGGAACACCACTGTCCTTGGCCAAGTAGAGGACATTTGGGAACCAGTGGCTTAAGCCATGAGTGCTTCTGACCCCACCAGTTACCAACTCTAAGCTGGATGCTGTTTTTGCATATGTAAAAACCCACTCAGAGCTCCTGTGATCCCATACTTAATGGAAAAGTTGGGACCACAAAAACAGGGAGACTTAGGGTGTTTAGAATGTACATATTTGATAAAATCTGGGTCCCACCCCAGGAAGGTTTTGGTTATGAGCTGCTCCCAGCTGTGGTTGACTGTAATCCCTCCTTGGGAAAACCGCCTGTCACCCTTGCTTAGTCTGAGCATGGAGTTAATTCATAGCCACCCTCCATCCCCCCTCCCCAAGAGGGTCTAGACCCCAGCCTGAGTGGAGTTGAGGCTTGTGGGAAAGGGAGGTATTACCTCATGCAGGAGACTAAAGTTTTTCTGAGAGAATTTAATTGTATGTCTAAGATCCAGAGGATGATGCAGCATCTCAAGGTCTTTGTGTCTCCTGAGGGGCTCTCCAGTATGTATGTGATTTCTTTTGGTGGCAGTCAGAAGGGGGTGACCTGTCTGGCCACCAGAACCTAAAGGAGAATGGCCAAAACAATGATTCCCTCTTTGACAGGCTCTTACCTGGCAGGAGACTCATGTCAGTCAGATCAAGTGTTTAAGAGGGTTTGCTCTGGAGAGTTTAGCCAGTGAAGAGTTTCTCTCTTTTTTATATCTCCCTCCCTTTCTTCCTTTCTGTTGCCCTGCTGTTCCCATGTCAGGCCTATGTTGTTATCATGACCTCCCTGTCCCTCCTGCTTCCTCTGGCCCTTCTGATCCAGTCTGTACACAGCTGGTAGATCATTCTTTGTAAAGCACTCCTTTCCCCATGTCACTCCCCTACCCACAAACTTGCAGTGACTCCCCTCTTCCTGCAGTCTCATCCTAGACAGTGTCCCTTAAGGCTCTCCCCTAGCCATGCTGCGCTGTGCATGTTTATCTCCCTGCATCTTTGCTCCTGCTGATTTCGCCAGTTGTCCGCAGTTAGGAGCCCCTTGCCTTCTTCTTCTCCTGCCTGAACCCTACTCTCATCCTTCATCTCAGACCACTCCAGGCCAGCGTTGCTTGCCTCTGAGATTGTGACCCTGGATTTTATAACATGGTGTCTTCTTGAGTGTTTTTGTCAGTTGGAAGTTTCTTAAGGACAAGGACAGTGTGAGTATTAAACCTTTGTGTGTGTGTGAGTATTCTAGGATTTCTGGTATAGTGCTGTGCACATCGTTTTTATTGAATGAATAAATGCAGTTGGCTGCTTAGTTGAGTGGGAGCGGAAGGGAAACGTTCCCTTCTGTTTCCCTAGAAATGCTAGTATAGGAGTCCTTGGTAAGGTTTCTGACCTTTTTAAGGCATATACATAGGGTGTATTTGGGGTGCTTTAGCGTGGGGAGCAAATGATTGCTTCTGATATTCCAGCTGGTGAAGAGTCTGTCCTGTGGATTGCTCACATGATACCATATAGACATGAATTGGAAAAGGATTGTAATCCTGTTTTCCTCCTACCTTACCAGGCCATTCTCGCTACCCGGCTTTGCTGCTCTTATGCAATTTTCCTTGTTGTCCATGCTAAATGAATCCATATGTTTTATCCCTTCTCAATCCTGGGTGTAAATGGGGGAGAAAACACGCTTCTGAGAACAGAAAAGGAAGATTCCTGGGTCTGGCGTGTGGACAGGGCTTTGGGGACTGATGTTGGAGGAGTTGTTTATAGAGGCATCGCTGATATGGGAGGCACCATCAGTCCCACACTGGACCCATCAGAAAGGAGAGCTTATGATCCCAGCTCTCTTGGAACTTCCGTTTTTGTTTACCACCAACCCTGGGCCATGGGAGAAATGGGAGAGAGGACTGGTGACTGGTTTGAGTCTAGACATTGAAAAAATAAATTCCGCATCCATCCCCTTTCCCCCAAACCTCCCTTTTGTGCCCCAGTTTGATGATTAATGGACCAGCATTTCCCTTCCAAGCAGGAATGCCACCCCTCACAGTTGCCATGGCAATGCAGACCGCTCCCCCGTCAATTAAAAAAAAAAAAATCCGCACTACTTCTCTCCTCCTTGCTTCTACAGTAGCAGGAGACAGGTTACCTCAGAATGCATCTCCTGGCCTCTCTTCTCAGCTGCTTGGGCTGTTTGTGCTGTGTGTCCTAGAACACGGCCCTTCCTCTCTTTCTGAGGATGGTCTGAGTTGCTCCACTCTAAGCAAATTGTGCCCCTCTTGGATCTAGCAGCTCCTGGAACACTTTTACAAAGAAGCAGAGAAAATTTCTGCTTTTTTAATTTACCCACAATGCAGATTAAAAACCAAAAAGAGCCTTTTTCTATCTTTTCCTTTGGGGTTAAAAAAAAAAAAATCCCCTCCACACCGTCTCTGGTACATAGAGGTGTAAGTTGGGGAGCGTTTTGACATCCATAAAGGAAGTTTCAGTAAACCTGGAAGGGATTAAGCCTCCCAGCATACAGAGTTCACATTGGAGTTCTGTGGGGATTTTCGATTTCTTTATTTTCATTCCTCCCCACCTCTGTCCCAGCATTCAGGAGGACTTGTGTGTTTTCATTTTATCTGTTCTTACTCCTCTTGGCCTTGCTCCGGCAACATCTGGCCTCAGTGCCCTGTCGCAAGGTGTCATTAAAGAGAAAAAAAAAAGCTTAAGGGGAAAATGTCTCTGGAGTTGAGAAGTTGCCTGTGTTGAACTAAGGCCGCCAGTTGAAGCTGCCAGGTTTATGGAGCATTATACGAACAGCCCCAACATTAAAGGGCCTCCTTTTTATGAATGGGTTGTGAAGAATGTAAATAAAGCAGCATCTCTCAATGGGGAAGCATTTTACATAAGCAGTACTACCCCAGCCCGAGTATTTATGGGAATTTGCTAGCATAGTCTGGCAGGACTCACTTCCTTTGTGAACTTGCCATTGTGCTGGGGACTTTGGAGGGACAAGAAGAGTGTGCTTTGACACGGAGGGCAGCCCGAGTGCTCCTGCTCTGCAGGTCCCCGGCCTTGACGTGATGGGCCACCTCATGGCTGGAAGTGCCTGCTAACCCTGAAAAGGTGGACAATACAGCATATAGTCAAGAGCCTGTGATGATTAGAAGCATAGGCTCCTGGCACCTGGGGTTCTGAGATTCTGCAGCGCCTCACCCTTCAGGCTGCTTCGACCTCCCCGGAGAAGGGGACAGGGAGGTCCTGGATGATGAAATCCTGCCTGTTTTTAGGGGAGACACCTAACTGGAGTAAAATAGACTGGTTTGAATTTCAGCTCCTTTATGTTTCCCCTGCTCACCTCCTGGTACTGCCACTAACGAGCAGTAAACCGGCTAATAGGGAGAAGTAGCAGCAGCAGTGGCCGTGAGGCTGAGGCTGCAGGCGGTCTGCTCAGGGCCAGACAAGTGCCCTTGGCTCCAATGAGCTGGCTTTGCAGAGTGGCTGAGTACTAGCCTGGCCCTGGGGTGCAGTGGAGGTATTGGTGTCCTGCCCTAGGTGACTTGGTCTAGCGGCTGGGGATCTAACTGTGGTGGGTTTGGTGAGCAGGCCTCAGGGCAAAGTCACATCCAGGACTTTGTGTGATGTCCCGGGAAGCATTTTCATCCAGATTCCATTTTTCCCAGTGGGAAACACCTGCAAAGATGGTTTGTTATTAACCTGTCTCAGCGTCCCACCAGTAATAATAACAATAATAATAACATTGCCCTTGAGATCTTCTGCAGGCACCAGGAATAAGAGAATGGGTTTGTCTCTCAGCCTCTCTGAGGTTTGAAATAGGAACTTATTTCTGAGGCACCATAACCAAGTTACCTGAATGAAAAAATGACAAGTGACTGGTCTTAGTTAACAGGATCAATGCCAGGCAGAAACTTGAGGTCTGCATCTTTTTTCTTATGTTTCTGTTCCAATAGGTTTGCAGGATGGGGGTGGGGGCTTTAACACACCTGGTGTGTTAAGACACCTGGTGTGTCTCTGCCTCTTGTGACCCCAGGGTCTCACCTGGAGTGGTACTTACCACCCCATACTTCCCTTCCATCTTCAGTGCCTGTTTGGGCCCCAGCCCTCCTTACATGCAGCCCTTTCAGTTTCCTACCTGCAGAGGAGAGGGGTGGTCCTTCTCCAACGGCAGCTGCCTGTCTAAATGTTTGGGGAAAATTCAGTTTGTTAATCACATTCTCATCTGGCCAGGTGGTTTAGAGGTGAATTATTATTATTACTGTTTTTTTGGCTGTGTCTTGTAGCTTGTGGGATCTTAGTTGCCCTACCAGGGATTGAACCCGGGCCTCAGCAGTGAAAGCGCCAAGTCCTAACCACTGGACTGCCAGGGAATTCCCTAGAGGTGAATTATTAGTTTTTAGAGCATCTTTGCAGATATCACAGCAAAGGTATTAGGGTGTTGCTTGATGCCAGGATATCCTGATGTGTATTCCAGAATGGAAGATGGAGTCACGATTCCACTATAGTCAGGGTCAGCAGGCCCTCCTCAGTAGTGAGGGGTGTCCCTGGAGGCGTTCACACAGTTGGGACAAAGTGTAGAAAAGAATTGTAAAACAGATGAAATGACTGTAAGAGATAATCGTCAGAGAAAATTGGAAGGACTTGGACTTACTTGGCCCAAAGAGGTAGCCATAGAGGTCAGGTAAATACATCTTCAAATATTAAGATGGCTGTTTGGAGTGTGATGACCAAATTTCAGTCTTCATTGCAGTCTGTGATGGAGATTTCATCTGATTCGAGGCGTGGTTAGATGCATGGGGGGGGCAGTCTGTAGACTCCTTTCCTGGATTGACTGTTAAAATCAAGAAAACATGTCTTTGTAGCCCTTACCCCTTTCGAGGATATAAAATGGGTTTGTTTCAGAAGTGCATCTAAGAGCATACTGGGAACTTTGAGCAGACTTTTCTGTAGAAACAGTTTGTAAAATTATGTTTATGTTCCCTGGCCAGTATATAGATGGCTTTCAATCGTAGTACATTTTCAATTCTTTTGTGGTGAACAATCAGGAAAAACTAATAATGTGTTAATGCCAATAATTAAAACAGCACAGAGAAGCAGAATTGCACATGCAAGTTGATCTCGAGTGTTGGTCTGTGACTCAGCAGCCGTCCTGTGTTGCGGTTTGGGGCGTGGGCTTGGGGACTGACACCAGCCGCCCCGCCTCTGCCCTCGATGGTGTGGGAGTGTGGGCAAGTTCTTCTGCCTCTCTGTTTTCTCCACGTTAGGGTGAGATGATATCAGCCACCGGGAGTGGGGGGTGGCAAGGATGAATGAGAGTGACGGTGACTGTAAGAAGTAAGTGGAACGAGAGGAATAGTCTCCTGAGATAGCTAGGCAGGTTGGGAGAGAGAAGAAAGAGGACAGTCGTGGAAGAAGGTTGTGCTGTGTAATATGAGAGAATTCCTAAAGTAGCCTGTTGAACTGTAGATTATATTGAAGAGGTAAGGTGGACTCCTGGGGATGAGGGATAGTTTGGAGGTCAGAGTTTCTCTGGGCTGTAAGTTGGGCCATCAGTCTAGGGTGGAAATGTTATATGGGATGGAGCAGGTGGGCACCCAGATCTTCATTTGTTCAGTAAGTTCTTACTAAGCCCTGTGGATAAGATTTATTGGTAAGGAAGGCAGAGCCTGCCTGTCCCTGCAGAGCTTGCATAATGAGGGTGTTACTAAACAGTTAATTGGTTAGGCGTGAGATATTCAGGTTGGCTGCCTGTGTTTCTGTTCGCGCTGTGGGAGTATTGGGAAGCCCTTGTCTTGGGTCTTGTTCCTCATGGCTGTTTCATTCAGGACATCAGCACTTTGCTGGGGAGGCTAAGGGCAGAGCTCCCATGTTGGCCTGGCTGGCCAGTTTCTTGTGTTCAGGACAAGAGATTGCACCTCCAGTCTCGGCACGCCATCTTAGAAATCCAAGTTACTGGTTCCTGGAGTGTCCTGGTGGTTGAACAGCACATATCCTTTGCCACTCCTGGGCAGGTGCCCGGAGCAGGCTGGTGAGCTGTTGTGTTTTTTGAAGAACGGTGCATCAGTACGTGAGGTTTCCTCCTGGTTGACCTGTTGCTGAGCCTTGAGGTTCCCTGTCCCTGTTCCTGATTTATTTTTTCCACACTTTAACTGCCGGGAGCAAATGGGTCCTGCTCCAGGAGGAGATTTGCTTCTGGCCTGGTGTGTGCACTGTGGAGTCTGGGTGGGAGGGTCTGAGGGAGCCTTAGCCTGGCGCTCCCTGTCCCCCAGCCTGGAGTAATCCTGTATGGAGCCAATGGTGGTGAGTCTGGGGAAAGCTGCATTTGTCTCCCGCCCTTTCCAAATGTTTAGGAAGCACATTTCTCAAAGTGCTGCCCATTTCCCATTGGGCTTAGTACATCTGGAAAGAAGTAGATCGTAGACCCTCAGTAAGAGTCTGAAAGTCCTGGCTCAAATGTGCCCTCTGGGAAGCTGCCATGGAGCCAAGCTCTCTGTACCGAGCTCCGAGCCCTCAGTCACAGCCCTGTCACGCTGTCTTGTCCTCTGTCTTCCTACCAGCCCAAGCTCCAGTTCCTCAGTCTGCTTTGCATTTTTCTTCAGCACTTAGCGTGATACTTGACATGTATGGGGAAAGAATGAGCTTGTGTTGAGCGCCTGCTGTATACCAGGCACTCTGCTAGGCAGTTGACACACACTCTTATTTAACTTGATCCTCATAACAACCCTGCTGTGTAGGTAAGGAAACCAAGGCTCAGAGAAGTTCAAGCCATTGACCAAACCCACTTCGGATTAGCAGTGGCACGAAGTGGCTTCCAGCCCCGTGTGGGTCTTGCCTTGCTGAGCTGTGGCGAGGGGCCAGCAAACGTTGGCTGAATGAGCAAAGGTCACAAGAGGTGCCGTGTGCCTGGGAGTGAGCGACGGGTGCTCTGGCTTAGCTGGACCGACCCCTGCACATAGAGGTCTGCCTGGTGCACACAGGAGCTGGGCACTGGGAAGAAGCTAGGGGAAGGTAGGTTGCCTTCAGTAGGGACATGTGCCTTTAGAGGAAGCCTCTACAGACTAGTTTTGTATTGCATGTGATTACCTTCTAATTTGCCAGGTCTGAGTCTCTTAGAGCAGAGCGCTGTGGCATGACTAAAATACAGGTTCTCTGCCCACTGTCCTCACTCAGGGGTCTGTGTGCACTGACTTATGGGTCCCAGGGGTAAGTCTTGTCTCCCTCACTCTCAGCCCCTACCTGCAAGGAAGGGCCTTGCCCTGAGACTGGGGACTGGCTGTTGCCAGTGAGAAGGTGAAGGAGATTCCACCAGCTCTGCTGTTACTATATTCCTGTACTTAATTGCAATTCTAATGTAAAATGGAGAGGTCCATTTCATAGTCTGAGTCCCCTCCCTCCCCACAGAGATGTTAACAAGAGGTGTGATATCTGGCCTTGGGTCCAGAGCCAGCAGTACATGGAGGTTCTGGATGCTCGGGTGTAGCTCTGGGCGTGTGTGTCTGGGCGCTCCCGCTGGGATGCTCAGCGTGGACAGGAGTAGCCAAAGGTGGGGCCCGGCTGTGGGGCTGGGCCGGTGGCTGCACCGGACCCTGTGTGGGGTGGGGGTGGGCCTTCCCCTGCACTGCTGCTCCTGCCTCTCTGGGCTCCTGGGAGCCCCCAGTGTGAAGTGTGAGGAGCAGGTGGTCGACAGGCCAGAGATAGGCTTGGTGCCTCCGGGGCAGGCGGGCCCAGCTCCTCAGATGGCCACGACCCGAGGGCAGTCTATAAAACAAGCCGCATCCAGACGGGTCAGGCCAGTTCCCTTTGGTCAGGCGCCGTGCTCCCTGCCCAGGTGTTTGTAGGGTCCCAGCCTGACTGCAGAGTAAATTGAGTACCCACAGCAAGTGAGGCTGAATGGGCACCAGGGAGGCCCTCTCTTCGGGGCAGTACCCTGGGGCTTGAGCTCTGAGCTGCTGGAGCCAAGGCTTCTGCTCTCTCTGGGAGCCTGCACTGAAGCTGCAGTCAGATGGCAGCAGCAGGCAGAGCGAGTGCCCTCTGACCCCATCCCCTGGGCCTTTAGCATCTGAAGATCTCGCCTTTCTTGTTTCTTGGAGGCGTGGAGCTGTTATTCAGGGTCTGTGGGATACAATTTCTGCCCCTGCCCTCTTCGCTGCATTGTAAACCGAGCCCCCCAGAGTTCACCCCAGACTGGGTCCCGAATGGGATAAGGGTGGCACGGCTGCGTTTCCCGGGGTGGACACTCGGGTGTTTTCAGTGGAGCGGTAGCAGAGCAGGGGTCAGGTACAGGCTGCGTTTTCAGATTTCTCACCACTCGCGGTGGCTCTGGACTCCTCCTAATGTGGGGATTCGAGGGCTGAGGGCAGGCCACCCTCCACTGTCTGTGGGTCTGAAAGAGGGGGATCCCCAGGATGTTGGCCTGCCCGGTTCCTACTCTGCTAGGCTCCTGCATGGTCCCTAGTATCATTCTCACCACCACTCTTAAGTAAGGTTCTTTCTGATGTGTCTCTTTGAGATGAGGCATCTGAAGTTCAACAAAGTTAGATAAGTTGCTCATGAGGGCCAGAGCTGGATCCAGGTCCGGCTGACTTAAAGCTTTGGCTGTTTCCATTTTACCGGCTCTGGGGGATTCAAGAGATACCAGCCGCATCTTTATGTGGCTTTATCACAAGAATTTCAGCAGCTTCACCTCTCTGTTTTTCCATGAAGTAACATCAACTAAATTTAAAAGAACAGGAGTTTGCCTTTGTGCTCTTGCTGCTTTTCTTCTCTGATAGCAGATTCAAGAAACTCAGTGTCGTGAAAAAGTATTATTCTGTTGAGGGGTGGCGGAGGGGCTTATTTTATTCCAAGAGAGATTGCAGAAGTGGGCAGTGCTTACTTAACTCGGTGCCTACTGTGTGGCTTTAGGTGTAATTGGAGGGAGGTGGCTTGGGTCAGGGCCCTTCCTGACCCTCACCCAGGGGACCACCTGGTCTGCTCTTACCTAAGACCGCCCCCCCAACCCCAAGTACTCCCTCCCATTACAGATAAACCAAAAAGCCTGAAAAGCAAAGTTTCAAGTGCAGTGGGTAAGAGAGGTTTCAGGAAGAGCAGTGGGGCAGAGCCCTGGGTCCTGAACCCCTAATGATGGTGGTGTGGGTGTGGCCTAGAGCTGGGTAAGTTAGGGAGAGCCATGGCCAAGGCTGAGGGCCTCTTTCTGCCCCAGGGCAGCCTCTGCTTGGGGGAGTGATCTGGTTTCAACCTGCTCATCCAGGCCCCCACCCTTGCCCTCGTTTCTCCTCTGGTGCCCACAGCCCATCTCCTCCAGGCCTTTGACCTGCCCTTGCACACAGTACCTTGGGTGTCCTCCACCTGCCCTGGTGGGCCGTGGGGGCTACGTATAAGGTGCTGCTGCAGCTTGAGGGCAAAAGACAAGGCCTCCCTCCTTTTCTGTTTCTGTGGAGATGACTTCTCCCAGCCCTGGTCAGGCTTGTGATTTTGGATTCAACTTGTGATTCATTGGGTCTTTGGCTCGGAGGACCACCGGCTGGCCACTGTGCTTCAGACTGGTTTTCTTCAGTGAGGGCTTGCTTGACATGGTCTAGGCGAGCTCTAAGACGCCCTGGGGAGTCCCTCCTAGGAACCTTCTCCTGAGGGTGCCTGAACTACCTGCCCCTGGGAGGACAGGGCTTCCCAGAGAAGAGGAGGGTAGTCTGAGAGAAGCAGGGCACTCTTGTCTGTTGGTAGTGGCAGAAAGTTCCTGGTTGAGCTGGTGTGTAAGTGGGAGGGACAGGACAGCAGGATGGTTGGCAGAGCTGGGATGGGAACCAAGCCTCCTGCTTTCCCGGGATCTTCTTCCCCCATTGAGCTGGGCCACCCCTGCAGGTTGGAGGGGCCCTGGCAGGCTGGGCGCCCCTCCACCCAGCCCCACCCCAGGGAAAAGCTGCTGCCGAAGTTCTCACACGTCCATCTGGCTTCAAAGCATGACTCACTGACTCTCTTCAGCCTGGAGTGCAGTGCGGTAGGCAGCAGAGTCCCCAGCCTCTCCTCAGGAGCGTGAGTGACATTGCTGCCTTAGGCACCACGTGAAAGCTAGGAGTTCTGTGGGTGATGGGATTTGGCAAATTCAAGGGAGGCTAGCAGGAGGCCCAATATGCTTGATTTGAAAATGTGACTTGCACCCTTTGATTTAGAAGCTTCCTGGGATCATCAGCCTCAGGGACAGTGGGTGTCCCTGAGGGACGAAGAGGGAGGTGAAGGAGTGAGATACTCTGCCGGGAACAAATTCCCAGGTTCTAGGGACAGACTCCCGAAAGTGGAAGGCTTTTCTCCGAATCTTTTTCATAGTGCAAGGGAAAGACTGAGTGGGACCAAGTATCCCAGAATCCCTGGGCCATCCATCCATGTAGCAAGTCTACCAGCAAATTGAGGGTGGGGGGAAGCGAGGGCAGACCAAGGACGACCATGGTCCGCTAAGAGCTCTTCATTGGCCAGGCTTGGAAACACCTCCCTGTGTTCACTTTCTCTTTCCCATCCACTCCTCCTTACTCTGCTTGGTGTCCATGTCCTTAAAGGCCATAAGCCCAGGTGACCTCAGCCTTGGCCACCAGCTATTCCCAGGCCCGACTCCTCTGGTAACTTGGGGCCTGTTGAGGGGCTTTGGCCCCTGCTCAACTGTGTGGTCTATTCACTGTCCTCCTTCTCCAGGCCCTTTGGGGGTGGGGGAGGGCTGGGCGCAGGCTTCCCTAGGAAATACAGATGTGCTTCTCCTTGTTCCTGCTCCTTCACCTCTGGCACAGGGGTGCCCTGCCCTTGAGGGAAGGGCCTGGGGTTATAAGCAACTGGGATTCTTTTGAGGGCTCATAAGCGTGCTGAGCAATCAGGGATGGGTGGACACCCTGATTAGAAGAAAGAAAGAGTCTTAGGTAGCCTAGCAGATGCCTGAGGTTTTTCAGGAGCACTCCAGTCTGTGCTTCAGGAATGAATGGATTTGCCTCTGTGACTCTCTGTCCTGCCTGGGGCCTGGTCTCTGGGTATGCAGGTCCCCGCATGTGGCCAGAGCAATGCCTGGCACTCCGCCTCCCTTTTCCAGTTTTCCAAGTTCTTTCTCAGGGGTGAGGGACACCCCTGCTGCCCTCAGCCTGGTTTTTGGAGCACTCTTTCTCAACTAGTGGCATGTCTCTGGAGAGAGGGTAGAGGGTACCCAGTGACCCCAGCCACTGGCCCAAGGCCACAGGAGCTACTGGAAGGGCTCTGGATTCCCTGGGAGTCCTCAGGCTTGGGACTTTCAGGGTTAAATCCTGGCCCTGCAGGGACTGCTCCCAGCTCCTCTGGTGGAGCGAGAGTGAATAACAATAGCCGCGGAGAAATCAAGCTGAAAAGCTTGCTGGGCAGGAGGGGTCCCAGAGTGCTGGGGAGGGCAGAGCTCCGTCTGACACCTTACTCGGCAGCATCTTGCTTTGTTGGGGTGTAGGTAGGGAGTGAACAGCATAGTAGTCTCTGACCACCGATGCCGGCAGTGTCCGTCCCCCCGACCCTGCCCCTCAGCTCTCCATTGCCTGGGCTGTGGCAGCTTCCTGCACACAGCCTGCTGCCTTTTTCATTTGCGGGGGTGCCCGGGGGGCCCAGGTATGTTGGAGGTGGGGAGGGTGTCTGCTAAGCAAAGTTAAGGGATGATGCCTGGTCGCAGGCATTTTCTGTCTGGGGCTCTGGGTTTCCTGTGACTCACCCCCATCCTGCCCCCTGCCTGGCATCTTGCCTACAAGGAGGGAGTCCTGAGGAATAAGGCAGGACTAACAGGGCTGCCTGGGTTTGTCGCCTGAGTTAGTTCTTCTATTTGGTACTTTCTTTTCCCAGCTCTTAGTGGCTGGTGGGCCTTTAAAGCTGTACCACAGGTCTAGAGTGTGGTCCCTGGGTTTCCTACCTGGAAATGCTGGCCCCAGCCTTACTGACATCCCTCCCCCAGGCACTGGCACTGGGCCGTTTGGAATCTGAACTAAGGTGGGGCTGGCTCCACGGGCTGGCTGAGACCTCCCCCCACAGGCTCCTCACAGCCAGGCCTTCACTCTTGAGGGGGCTTTCCAGCAATACCCAGGTTATGGCTGTCCTGCTGTATGTGCCAGGCAGGTGTCCTCACAGGTGGACTTTGCCTCCTCCACGGCCCAGCAGGCAGGTTCCTCATCTCAGCTCCTCACTGTCCATCTCCTTATCCTCCTGTGGCCAATCTCAGAAGCCTCGAGAAGGGGGAGGGGACTGATAAAGTCTTTGAAGGAATTGGTGGGCTCCCACCACCCAGGCCCCTATCCTGGATCCATGTCCTCAGGACAGTCTCCTCCTGTCCTACGATGAGTATCTAGTGGGAGAAGAACAGGTAGAGACAACCGAGAGCTTTGCCCCCAGCTTCTTCTGTCTTCCAGCTCTGGGGTTTGCATTGCTCCATAGGGTCCCCAGGGGTTTGGTTCAGAGGAGAGTGGGGCAGCCAGTCCTTGCACAGCTGCTGGTAGCCTGACCCCGCTAGACCTTTGCACTCTGGAAGGGGGTGTCCCGGGAACATCCAAGCTGGAGATGGAGTGAGTGGCCAGAGTTACTGCAGGGGATGCGGGCCAGAGTTACTGCAGGGGATGCGGGATGGGCTGCAGTGGGGGAGAAAGCAGGCCAGGGCAGGCTTCTCTCATTGCCTGCCTTATGTCCTGCAGCTTGGAGGTACTCCATGACACACACTCGGAGGAAGTCTCTTTCCATGCTGAGTTCGGGCCCCACGGGCCGCCAGGAGCCCCTGCAGATGGAAGGCAGCAGTATGGAGCAGGGGGCAGAGGGTGTGGAGCCAGGTCCTCCTGAGAGCCCAGGGCACCTCACGGGGCGCCGCAAGAACTACCCACTGCGGAAGCGCCCGTTAATTCCCGAGAAGCCCAAGGCCTGCAAAGTGCTGCTGACCCGCCTGGAGAATGTGGCTGGTCCACGGAGCGCAGATGAGGCTGATGAGCTGCCCCCCGACCTGCCCAAGCCCCCTAGCCCGGCCCCATCCAGTGAGGACACTGGCCTCCCCCAGCCCCGCAAGCGGCGCCTGGCCTCCCTCAACGCTGAGGCCCTCAATAACCTGCTGCTGGAGCGGGAAGAGACCAGCAGCCTGATGGGCACCCGCCGCAGCCGAGGGGGAGACCCCCACCGCAGCCGGGACCGTGACCGGGCCACTGGAGGCTGGGCCTCCTCCAAGAAGCGGCCCCGGCTGGGGGACCTCGGAGGAAGTCGGGACCTGTCCCCAGAGCCAGCACCGGATGAAGGGGCCCGCCGAGATGGCGATCCAGCTCCCAAAAGACTGGCCAGCCTGAATGCAGCTGCCTTCCTAAAGCTGAGTCAGGAGCGGGAGCTACCCCTGCGGCCGCCTCGTGCCCATCCAGAAGCAGATGGGCACTCCACTGAGCCACCAGCACTGAGGGCCCCGAGGCCAAAGTGGGCCAAGGTCAATGGCAAGAACTATCCCAAGGCCCGGCAGGGGGCTGGCTCTGGGGAGGCTGCAGGCCCACCCAGCTGGCAAGGACACCCTGAGGAGCCATGGCCATCTGCCACCCCTCGTGGGCCGTCCAGCCAGCCACCTTACCAGCCCCTGAGCGAGGCTCTAGAGAGCCCCTTGGGGCTGCGCCCTCACCTGCCCCTGCTGATGGGTGGGCAGGCAGCCTTGAAGCCGGAGCCCGGGCGCCCAGGCGAGGAGTCACCTGCCCCCAAGCAGGAACTGCACCAGCCCTCTTTCCCCGCACCCCAGCTCTCCCCGCTACCGATGCCTGGCAACCCCGCCGACTACAGTGGCCTGTGTGGTGGGCCTGAGCTCACCGCGCTAGGCAGCTTCTACCTGTACTGCAGCCAGGCCGGGCTGCGGTGTGGGGGCTACCCCTCCTGCTCCGTGCTCCCCGAGGACAAGCTGTCCCCAGTGGCTGCAGCTAACGCGGGGCTCCTCTTGGCCCCGAGCTCAGTGCCCGCCGCGGGCACCCACTTCCAGCACCCTCCATGGGGTTCTCGCTACTGCTCCAGTGAGGATACTGGAGTGAATGGCTACAGCATCTGTGAAATGTTGCCCCCGTCTCTTACCCACATCGGCACTACCTGTGGCGGCTGTCCCTACAAAATGCCTTTTGCAGCAGGTATGCCTTCCTGGAGGTGGGGTACACCAGGGAGTCTCTGAGAAGCAGTGTCCCAGGAGGGTGGGGCGCACTGGCGTCTGTCTACCGCGTGGGAGAGTCGGGGGTTTTGAGAAGGGAGGATTCCTCTAGCTTTGTGCCCCCAGCCTAGGAGATTCCCAGGAAAGAGACCCGTGTTTAGCTCTTAGCAGCCCTGCTCCGTACCCACTGTCTATGGAGGTTTCCCGGCATGGCAGTTAGGTAGCTTTGTGGTGGTGAAGTGGGCAGGGTGTGTCTCTCCTCCCTCTCCACTGGGATGCCCATTCTTAGACTCTGAGTAGCAAGTTAGATGCTGAAATTAGCACTTTTGCCAAGTTGTTCCCATGTCCTTCTGCCTTCCTTGAGGAAAACTAGAATTCCTTACTTCCCGGGAACCCAGACCATCTGCATGCCAACCGAGTTCAGCATTCACGGGAGGGGTGGTGGGTACCAGGCCCCGTAGGTGGTACCAGCTGTAATAGGACAGCTTCGTCCTGGCCATACAGGCCTTGAAAGAGAAGTAATGCTCAGACTTAGAATCACCTTGCTAGGTACAGACCGGGTGGGCACACTCTGAGAACAGACAGGCTGCCATCAGGGCCTGGACTTTGGTGTCTACCTTCTTGGCAAGATCCAGACACCTGAGAGTCTCGTGCCGTAGTTGATGAGACACCCCTAAGTGATCTCTCTTTCCCCAGACTGGCAGGAGTGTCCTCACATGCCTCTCCAGGCTCCCTTCCTGGCTCCTGGGTGGAAGTGAGGTGACCAGAGCCATGCTAGCCAGCAGGTCTGCCCTGCTGCTGGTGAAGTGAGGGGCCAGGCCTTCTCAGGGCTCTCCCCTCCCCTGCACAGCCCTTCTTGAAGGGGTCCATAAAACAACTTTATAGACCGGTTGACTCTGGCCAGACTGGTTGTTTCAGGTTTTCCCATGAGTTGGAGCTCTAAGAAATGAGAACAAGCTTCTTTTTAGGCTCTTCTTTTTCTTCCGTACCACTCTCTAAGTCTAGTCACTTAAACTGTGGGACCCAAGACCCCTAGCCCCTTGCCCTGGGACACCAGTAAGCACCATGTGCCAGGCGCTTGTTCTTAGTGCTTTATATATGGGAGGCCATATGGCATGTTAATTGAGCACAGACTCTGGAGCCAGACTGAAATGTTCTCCCCACTTCTTCAGCCACGTGACTGTGGGACAAACCAATAACCAACCTGTGTCTCAGTTTCTTTAATTGTAAAATGGGGGTAAATGGTACCTACCTCATAGGGTTGTTGTAAGGATGTGAAGAATTAATACTTTGATAGGAAAACACCTAGGACACACTATATGATACAACTACTACTTCTGTTGCAAGGCACGGAAAGGTAAAGTGACTTGCCTGAAGTCACACAGCTGGTAAGTGGCAGATCTGGGACTCATATCCTGGTCTCACTCCAGATCCCCTGCTCCTAAGTACGGTGGAAACCTTAGAGAAGGAAGATTAAGTCAGAGCTTAGAGATGCCATTCCCATTACTTTCCCTTCTCTCAGGCTAGAAGAGGAGATGGAGATGTCTGTGGGCCAGTCTCCAAGGTCAAGAAAAACCCTTGGCCAGTCACTGATCATCTCCCTTAACAGCCTCTGACCCCACCTGCCACCTCAGTGGCCTTTGGGTTCACACTTAGAATTAAAAGAAGCAGGCTCTGAAAGCAGAGGGGCCGGGGGGTTCCCTGCTTATCCTTACCTGCCCTGACCTCCCTCTCTCCTTTTCCCAGAAGGCTGCAGGTCCCTGGGCCAGCTGGAATTTCCTCTCCCGGAAGCCGGCCACCCTGCCTCACCTGCCCACCCCCTCTTGGGATGCCCTGTGCCCAGCGTGCCACCTGCAGCAGAGCCTGTCCCCCATCTTCAGACACCCACCTCGGAGCCCCAGACGGTAGCTCGCGCGTGCCCTCAGAGCGCCAAGCCTCCTAGCGGCTCCAAGTCAGGTCTGCGCACGGGCTCTAGCTGTAGGCACACTGCGCGGAGCAAGGCTGCCCGCAGGCCCAGCCACCCCAAGCAGCCTCGTGTCCAGCGCCCACGCCCCCGCCGCCGCCGCCGCCGCCGCACTAACGGCTGGGTGCCCGTTGGGGCTGCCTGTGAGAAAGCCGTCTATGTCTTGGTGAGTGCCAGCTCTCAGCTGATGGGGAGAAGGGAGGGTGGCGGTTAGGGACATAGGACCTGCAGTGAGTTGGGTCCCAGGAACCCCTGGCTCTGGCCACTCTGAGAAGTGACAAGGGGTTCAAGCTCAGTTGTACCCCGGGAACTGATCACACTGGCCCGGCCTGCTCCCCCAACTCGTACTGATCCTGTGCCCTGTGCCTTGGGGAGTCACGGAATGCACAATCACAGCTGGTGGCTGCCATCTCTGTCACCGACTCTTAGGGAAGCCTCCTGAAGTGTCTTCACCTCTCATCCCGGATTATAAAGTGGAGGACTTCCCTGGAGGCTTTTTGGATAAGTATGTATAGGGGAAATTGGGATAGGCAGAGAAAATTGGTGATACAGGAACATCTGGGATGATGAAAAGAATGTAGACTGAAATGTATCTAGCACGTCTTAGGTGCCAGAACCGAACTAAGCACTTTACATGCATTATCTACTTTCATCATCACCGCTGCCCCGTGAGGTACGCACACACCCCGTGGTCCTAGAACTACCCTCATTTCACAGACGAGGAAACAGGCTTAGCAGTAGATTAAGTCATTTGCCTGTGATAAGGCTTTGCTGCTTATACCATGGTGGTTTAAGAGTCAAACCCAGACTGCCCGTTAGGAACCTTGAGGACCTACCCGGTGCTGGGGGCTTGGAGCACGAGAGCCGGCTGTCGTGGGTGTGGTGGTCAGAGTGCAGGCCCAGAAGTTTCGAGCCACTTTCTTACCCCTGTTCCCATTTCTCTTCCTTTCTCCAACGGTGAGGATTCCCTTTCCTGCCCCTGAAAGCCAGGCTCAGGGAGGAGGGGCCAGAGTGCAAACCACTTTGGTAGTCTCCCATCCTCAACGGTTTGACTGCCCTGAGGAGAGCACAGAGAGGATGTCACTCCCTCCACATGCTGAGTGCGGCCCCACAAGCCTTGTTTGTGTCATTGGTTTGTTGCTCAGGATGAACCGGAACCAGCCATCCGAAAGAGCTACCAGGCGGTGGAGCGGCATGGAGAGACGATCCGAGTCCGGGACACTGTCCTGCTCAAGTCAGGCCCTCGAAAGACGTCCACACCTTATGTGGCCAAGATCTCTGCCCTCTGGGAGAACCCGGAATCAGGTACCCCTTGTCTAGAGTTCGACCTGGCACTAGTGTCCTGCGTCCTTGGCAGAGTCTGCCTTCCACTAAGCCGGCGTCTGTCTGGTGCTCAGGGCTGCAGACGGCCTTGTGCTTGGGTTGGATCAGCTCATTAACCTTTCCAGCCATCGGGGCCTGAGCGCCTGTCACCCTGCCTCACCTGTCAGTGCCTTTTCCTCCTCCTTCCTCCATGCCTAACAGCATTCTAGGCCACTGAATTGCCAGACTTGGCCCAAGGCAGGGGATAGGGGTGGCCGGAGCCCGCAGAATTGGCCTAGGCTTTGAAGTTGGATGAGCCTCCAGGGCAGGTGGCCAGCCCGCCTGCCTATCTAACTCTGGAGCTGCCAGCTCAAGGCCTGATTGCTTCTCTTCCCCTAGGAGAGCTGATGATGAGCCTCTTGTGGTATTACAGACCAGAGCACTTACAGGGAGGCCGCAGTCCCAGCATGCACGAGGTGAGCTGCCTTGCGGGGGAGAGCTGGGGCACTGAGAACGTGGTATGGGGGCGGGGGCGGCCTGGGCATTCGAGTCCCTGGACTCATTACCTTGGACACCAGAGAACCTGGGGAAAGGCCTGAGTTTTAGCCTCTTTTCCCAACACTGCCCCAATTCATGTTTTGAAGGGAATAGTAACCTTTGTCTTGAAGGGTGGGGCAGAAAGGGAGCCCCCAAGAGCAGGGGTGCCAGAATGGGAGCAAGTAGTTGTGTCTTCCTGGCGACAGGAAAGGGGAGGTGGAGCTGCACACCTTTACTGTCTGCAGCAGGAGAGGGAGGGGAGAAAAGACTCTACTGACACCCCTTGCTATCTACCAAGCCGTGTGTGGGTTGCTCCACCCCCGGTCTTGGCTCCCTTTTACTTTTTTTCCCCTCTCTGGGACTTTTCATCTAAATGGGAGAATGCACACCAATTCCCCTCTCCTCCCCTGGGCTGGGGTGGGGGTCGGGAGGCTGATGTCAGTCAGAGGCTGGAGCGGGTACTTGGCTGCTCCTGAGTAGGACAGGACCTGGGAGGAATGCCTTGGGCTGCTTGATGAGGAGCAGTTAGGCTGAAATTCCAGGGAAGCTCCCTAGTTTCCTGGGCACTAGCTGGAATTGTCTATCTCAGGTCAGGAGTACCAGCAGAGTGGTTAATGTCTGCCTTGCTCCTGGAGCTAGGTGCTTGCCACCCTGGTAGCCAACCTCCTCCCTCCCCTTGAGCCTTTGCAGAATGAAGTCTTTGCATCGAGACATCAGGACCAGAATAGTGTGGCCTGCATTGAAGAGAAGTGCTACGTGCTGACCTTTGCTGAGTACTGCAGGTGGGTGGTGCTCTGTACCTCTGGCTAGCCTCTCCCCTCAGACTTCCCAGGGCTATTTGGGCGCTGCCTGTGATCCCCAAGGGGATCTGACTCACTGGGCCTGACCTCCTAGAACTTTCTTCCCACAGTCTGCTTCCATCATGTAACTTTTATGGAAAAAAAAAAAGAAGAAGAATGGTTCCCTCTCTGAGGCAGAGTGATTGGGGCAGAGTTGCAGAGTCGGGGATAGTTACAGTACTGCTCTCAGAAAAAGTCAAGGAGAATTGACAGGTGATTGGGAGGGAGGCCCTGGTAGGTGTGGTTCCCCAGTGACAGAGCAGATGGTTGGCAGAGAGGGCATAGGCCCAGGACAGGGATGGAGGCAGCACCTGCCCTTGTGGAGGTGGGAGGGGGTGTCTCAGCCCTCTGGGCAGGGTGGGGAAGGAATTGGTCTTCCTGCTAAGATAGCTGTGGTAAAGACAGCGAATGGTGTGTCACTGCAGATTCTGTGCCATGGCCAAGCGTCGAGGCGAGGGTCTCCCCAGCCGAAAGACAGCACTGGTGCCCCCCTCTGCGGACTACTCCACCCCGCCACACCGCACAGTGCCCGAGGACACGGACCCTGAGCTGGTGTTTCTTTGCCGCCATGTCTATGACTTCCGCCATGGTCGCATCCTCAAGAACCCACAGTAGCCCCCTCATGCCCACACTGGGGCTGCCCACGGGCAAGTGGGGCTCAGGGCAGGGGGCACTGCTTGAAGCACAGCACTTGGTTAAGGGGCCACAGGAGCCTGAGGTGGCTGGCCTGTGGTTCTCTTGTGGGGGGAGGGCAGGGGCGCCTATGGATTTGGGCCCCATGGGAGGGAAGGGGAGGCCAGGGTATATGAAAAGCATCAGAGCCCTCAGCTTGGCCCATGGTACCTCTCTGTGGTCCCCTGGGCAGAGGCTCCTGAAGAAGCAGTCTTCCCTGAGGCTGAGCCAAGCCTCAGGGGCATGGCCCCTGGGGGGATTGGGGGAAGGTCCTTCAGGAACCAGGCCCTTCTTTATCCTCCCCTGGGCCCTTCAGGGGGGAGTGGGAGCCAGCTTTACCTCACCCACTGTGACCCGCTGCTTCCCCATTAGCCTGGGACCAGGCTCTCCCAGATTCTAGCACAGCTCCGAGCTCATTCCTTTGAGGCCTAGGGAGCCAAAGTCTGGCTCCCAGAGCATTGACTTTCTCTTCCTGGACTTGGGGCCTTTCTCTGGCATTCCTCCTTTGCCCCTGCAGTAGCCCCTGGTGCTGGGACAAGTTACCAGCCCTCACAGTCATGGGTGTGGCCCCCTTGTGGGAGTCAGCTTGCTGTCCACCTCCTGGTGAAGGCCACCCAGCAGGTCTGGCCTCCCAGAAATTAACTGATCAACATGGGGTTTGTCATGTCTGGGAGAGCAGAAGGGAGCTGGGAGGGGGTGGGGGCAGGGGGCAAGGAAAATTGCTACCTGATTTATTGAAGACTTTTCCTCTTGCCTTACACTTAGAGGTTTAGGAAACCTCTTGCAGAACTTCACACATGACTTTTCAAGCCACACCCACCTGAAATCAAACCAAAGGAGTGCTGTGGCTCCCCTTGCCCTGCCACCTCTTACCCTAGTCTTTTGTAGATTGCACTAATTTACATCCCAGCGAGAATCAACACTGTATCAGTCCACAGACCTGCTGAGCTGCAGCCACTCACTCTAGGAGCTAAGGACCTGCATTTTCAGTTTGTTCCTGTTGCCCAGGGGCCCTGTTCTCACCTCATGCTGCTCCCCAGAGTAGATTAGGAGACTCAGCCCCCTGCTATCCTTGCCAGAACTAGGCCCTGGCCCTGGCCCTGGGGCACTCCGTGTGGCGGCTGGAGCAGTCTGGTTCTTTCCTATTTGTACCAAAGAGGAGCCTGGTAGGGAAAGGGAGTGTGGCTTGGGCCCGGCGCTGGGCACATGCTCGTGAGTGATTCCACAGGCCACAACCCTGGGGACAGGAGCCAAGGAGGGCAGCACTGGGTCCCCCTTCCCTAGGGAGGGGCAGACAGACCCTGCAGGCTGAGGAGGTGGCACTGGGTGAGGACAGTTGGGCGGGAGGTGGAAGTGAATCCTGAGGGCACTCCCAGCGATCCCCCAGCCTTGTGCTGTCCCTAAGCAGATGGCTGCTCCTGATTGGTCATTGGGCTTGGGTGAGGCCTGGACCATTCAGAGGTGAATTTACACTTGGGAAACCCAACCCCAAACCTGAAGGGAAGGAACTTGGGTCCCCTTGTATTGAATAAGCTGTTTGGAGGAAGGCATCATCAGCCCAGGAGGGCGGGGCAGTAAGAGAGGTTGGCAGAGTGGCGTGGGGTGGGGCTGTGGTGGCTCTGGAGACCCAGCCTTGGAGCCTGCTCTTTCCCAGGGCGCTGGGCCCTTGCTGCCAAGGAGCCCAGCCTCACCCAGCAGGAGATCAGGCCCCTCGTCTCCCAGGAGGCAGGGTCCACTGCCCACAACTTAAATGCTTTTGAAATCTCTTAGATGTGGAAATATTTTTTCGAACCTGAAAATGCAGCTGGTAGAATTTCAATGGAAGCATAATTCATGTAAAATATATTTTAGTTGATATTTTGTAAAATGCACTTTTTGTGTGTGTCGACCCTGGTTTCTCAGATCTGTATTTCAGTGTTTACAAGGGAGGGAGGACCTTTCCTCACCTCCCTTTTGACAGAGATTAGAAGTACTTCTTTAAGAAAAAAAATAATAAATTTGAGAAATTGTATTGATTTAGAAAAGGACCATTTCCTTTGTGTCGTGTCATCTTTTTGTGTGTGGGTGCAGAGGGGCTCACCACTCTTAACCACTGCAGTGCAAGGGCTCACTGAGGTCAGTAAGCAAAGAGCACAGGAATGTGCGGGGAAACAGTGGGAGGAGAGGAGACAGAGGGAATGGGAACTTGGAGGTGACATCTTCGCATCGTGGTGGGCTGAGTGAAATCCTTGGGAACTGGTCTCCAAGTGGTTGCGCGGTGAAGATACCGCCTCATCTCCTTGGATCATGCCCCTGGAGAACTGGCCAGCAGAAACTGTTCGAGGGCCTTGGTATCTTGCAACTGGCACTCCTTGCTGAGGAATTGAAGGCTGCATCATGAGGCCAAGGGCTCAGATGGCCTGGATGCTTGGTTCAGCCAACCTAGCCCTAGCCCCAAAGCCTCAGTGTTGACTGTGTTCAAGGTGGGGTGGACCTAAGGCTCTCGGGGTTCCTAGGAGGCAGATATGCTGCCCAACCCGCTCCTGCATTTTGTAAGGACATCTGGGCAGCTGCATTTCCATAGAGCTTGCTAGTGGCACAGGCACCATCGTGGACATACTGCAGCACTGCCATCAGTGTGCTGTCCACAAGAGTCCCATGAGATGGGCAGTATCCCATCATTTTACAGACGAGAAACTGGTGTGGAGACAAGTACTTTGTCTAAGGACTCCCCTAGAGTAAGTGGCCATTCCTGTATTCAGACTGCCTCACTGTGACTGCTAACACAGAAAACTGCTCAGAGAAATGAGCACATGTGATGCAGTTACCAAAAACTTTCTCAAAGTTGTTTTTTCCTCTCCTAGTATAGAAGACGTATTTACCGTTTAAAAGAAAAGAAAAAGATAAAAGATTTCAGTAGAAATAATCCCATGACCAGAAATCTACCGTCAGTGCTATTGGAAGCAAGGAGCAGTTCGGTGAGGGCTAAACCCTGATGCAGACTTGTAAATCAGTGAATGGTGCATCCTGAGATGCACCGCAGCATTCGGACAGAGTAGGGAGCCTGTCCTGAGGAGCTGGAAGGCCACCAGGTTTCCCATTCTTTCCCCTTGCGCATGTGCTGTGCTCCCACTGCTAGGATTGGGCGGGCCATGCGTGAGTCTTTTAGCTTCATCTCATCCTTCAGGAGCCCTCATCCTCTGAATTCCTCTCATCAGTGGTAACTCCATTCTCGCTAAACTCAAAGCCTGTGGCATCTTCTCCTGTTCCATCACCCCCTCAGTACAGTGTGTTCTGGGGTCAGCTGCTTTCTCCCTCCGTGTTTGTGCTCCATTCATCTCTGAAGGATCGTGATTAGGAATTTAGGATTTAGAATCAGACCAACTCATACAAAGTCTCAGCTTCCCTGAGCCTGTTTCCTCAGCTGTGCAGCAGGGATGCGCATAGTACCTACCACCCCGGGTGACTGTGACCACTAAAGAAGGTAATGAATACAACAGATGACACCTGCCTCAATAATGTGGACACTGTTTCATAGCCTCACGGGCTCCCCGCATGTAACAGGGTGAAGTCTGGACACTTAGCTAGGTGCCCAGTTCAGATCAGTAAAGGCTGGCTACTGACTTCCGAGGCATTCCCCATGTCTGTCTCTAGTCCACGTGGCCAGCCCGGTGCCCGTGAGCACGTCTGACTCCAGGCAAGGAGGCTGCTGCTCTGTGCCCCCAGCTCCTCACCCTTCAAAATGTGTGCTGACCACACCAGTGGTCACGTGGCAGCAACTTGTCACTGGCCCCTCACCAGAGTGTCCCACCTCTAAAGGCCTGGAAGAGGGAAGACAGAGGAGAGAAGATTCCATTTCCAGACATTTCAGCATTCCCCAGTGGATAAACACTGTAACCACTAGGTACTGTCTTAAATCTAAGGGTCACCATAGAGCTGAGCCATTGTCAGTGCCTGACCGTCTAGTTCCTCTTTATTGGAGTGGCCAGGACACGGCGGGTAGGGGGAGCACACTGGGGACTCTGCTTACAGCAATTAAGACCTCCAGAAATTTGGGACTCAAATTTGGGAGTCGGTGGAGAGCACTGCGGAAGCCCCTTGCCTCCAGACCCGCTGTTGGAGTAAGGGCTCGGCCGGGCCAGAGTGTGCGGCAGGGCGTTGCGTGCAGGTCCTCTCCTTACAGCTCCCTGAGGGCACGCGCTGCGCGGGAGAGGGAACCGCGGCCTGGGTCTTTCCTGCCTTCGGGGCCTCGGCAGCTTTTGAACCCGAAGCGCGGAGGACCAGGACGGCCCTGGCTCAGGCGCCCTCTCCAGGGTGGGGGTCCGCACGCGCCCTCCCAGCCCCCTCGCTGCAGGGGTGCCCGCCCCTCTCCACGCCCCCGGCCTGGGCCCGCCCCCGCGCCTGTGTCACGGCGGGGCCGGGGGCGGAGAGCGGCCGGGCGGGACATCCGGCCCAGGTCCCTCGCCGCGCCCGCCGGCTGCCCGCCGCCCGCTCCGGTGCCATAGCCCGGGAGTCGGCTACCCCCGCGCGCGCCGGGGCCTCCCGCCAGCGCTCCGCTCCCCTACCCCATCCCGGCTCCGCGGGCCCAAGCCCTCGGGCCCGCCCCCAGCCCGAGCCCGCCTCCCGGGCAGCCCTCGGATCGGCCGGGCCCGCGCAGGCCCCCGCCCCGGGAGCACGATGTTCCCCCGCCCGCTGACCCCGCTGGCGGCCCCAAATGGCGCCGAGCCCCTGGGCCGGGCGCTGAGGCGGGCCCCACTGGGCAGGGCCCGGGCCGGGCTGGGCGGACCGCCCCTGCTGCTGCCGTCTATGCTGATGTTCGCGGTTATCGTGGCCTCCAGCGGGCTGCTGCTCATGATCGAACGTGGCATCCTGGCCGAGATGAAGCCCCTTCCCCTGCACCCTCCCAACCGCGAGGACGCGGTCTGGCGTGGGACGGTCCCCAGGCCTGGGAGGCTGTCCCTGGATGCGGGGGACTCGGACTTACAGGTGAGGCAGGACGTCCGTAACCGGACCTTGCGAGCAGTGTGCGGACAACCAGGCATGCCCCGGGACCCCTGGGACTTGCCGGTGGGGCAGCGGCGCACCCTGCTGCGCCACATCCTCGTGAATGACCGCTACCGCTTCCTCTACTGCTACGTGCCCAAGGTGGCCTGCTCGAACTGGAAGCGGGTGCTGAAGGTGCTGGCGGGCGTCCTGGACAACGTGGACGTCCGCCTGAAGATGGACCACCGCAGCGACCTGGTGTTCCTGGCAGACCTAAGGCCTGATGAGATTCGCTACCGCCTGCAGCACTACTTCAAGTTCCTGTTTGTGCGGGACCCCTTGGAACGCCTTCTCTCTGCTTACCGCAACAAGTTCGGCGAGATCCGAGAGTACCAGCAGCGCTATGGGGCTGAGATAGTGAGGCGGTACAGGGCTGGAGCGGGGCCCAGCCCTGCGGGGGACGACGTCACCTTCCCCGAGTTCCTGAGATACCTGGTGGATGAGGACCCTGAGCGCATGAACGAGCATTGGATGCCCGTGTACCACCTGTGCCAGCCTTGTGCCGTGCACTACGACTTTGTGGGCTCCTATGAGAGACTGGAGGCAGATGCCAACCAGGTGCTGGAGTGGGTGCGGGCACCGCCCCATGTCCGATTCCCAGCTCGCCAGGCCTGGTACCGGCCGGCCAGCCCCGAAAGCCTGCACTACCACCTGTGCAGTGCCCCACGGGCCCTGCTGCAGGACGTGCTGCCTAAGTATATCCTGGACTTCTCCCTCTTTGCCTACCCACTGCCTAACGTCACCAGGGAGGCCTGTCATAAGTGACCATGGGTGTGGGCCAGCAGTTGTTGGGGACTGGTTTTGACAATGCCACCTTCTGTGTTGCCATACAGAGAAACCCTGGCTCTGGGGCCTGGGGCTTCTCCAGATGCCTAGGTGGGAAGAATTGCCCTTGGAAGTTCCTTGTCCAGGGTGGGTGCACACAGTGGTTCAGAGGCCAGGGTTGGACAGATGGCCTGGTGCTCTCCATAGGGGGATTTCTTGGGAGCCAGTGTGATCCTTCTTGCCCTGGCAGGGTTAGATACCAGTTTGCTAGTGTAGCAACACATCTCTTCTCAAGACTGGCTCCACGGCCCTGCCTGCAGGGGTTGTGCAGTCCACTTGAGCCACCTTAACTTAACCTGTAGCCAAACCCAGAGGAGGCACCAATCAGATGACCACAGCTGGGGGCCCTGTGGCTCTGATCACCCGTTCATCCACTCCATTTGCCTCAGGACTGGAGTCAGCAGTCGTGCCTTTTTTAAATGACTTTTGTATCTTTCTGCTTCAGACTTAGAATTTCCTACATTTGCCGGGTTCTTTCCCTTTTTTCCAAGGAAAGGAAAACTGAAAGGGCCCTTACAGGACCTGGCCCTGCAGCATCCAAAGACCCCTGTGCCCAGCCTCTTCTTGGGACTCTGGGCACTCTCTCCCGTCCCCCAGGATTGTGACTGTGGCCTCTGTATCTGGCTGCCACTTTTCTGATGCATTTATTTAAATTTTGTACTTTTTGATAGAACATTTGAGAAGGCTTTGTTTTCATAATAGCTGAATTTTTAATAAAGCCATTTTGTATACAAAGTCAACATCTCTGATTCTCCCTTTGAGCTCCTGTGTGTCCACCAAGACCCCCTGATGCCTCTTTCCCCAGGTCAGGAGAGGGAGCTTGAAGGTAGAGAAGGTAAGACAAGCTGTAACTTGCTAGGGCTAGTGCAGTGGGCCATCGTCATACCATGGAGCCTTTGGGAGCTTCCCATAAGCCATACCGGATCACTGACTCAGCTTCTGGGATGCCACCAAAGGGCAAGCCCCATTAGGAATGGCTCCAGGTCTAGAGCACATCTACACGATTATTCCCTGAAGCTAAGTAAGAGATATTCCTCCTCTTAGGCAGGAATACTTCTTGACTGAGGAGGCTCTCAGATGAAAAGGGGGATCATTGTGCGAACAAGGGGAGGTTATTCCTGGCATTGAGAATTATAAGGAAGGCAAGAAGGTTGAGTGAGGGGCGGTCTTTTGCTGACTTAGATTCAGAGGAAGTTGTGGGCAATGTGGGAGGAATACAGTCAGAGTCGTAGAGGACAGGCCTCAGTGTGACCCCTTCCCCACTGCTCTCCAGAGATCCCAGACCCACCAGGAGATGGAGAATAGGAGGCTGTGCCAGCCATGCCCATGGGAGAGATTCAAGGTCAGAGCTGGCTTTTCTCCGTTAGTCCTATTTCATACATCCCCAGTGGGAACTGCTGTACTTCAGGGACCCGGGGCTGTGGTGAGAAGTGGTGCCCGAGGGGGTGAGGGACGGAGGCGGGAAGAGCCTCCTTGCCAATGTCACTTATACCTAGCCTTGCTATTGGCCTGACTTTGGAGGAGTAAACCAACCATATTCCCCAAATTTGGGGGAGGGGGCTCCTATAGTCACTCATGTTTCTCTGCCATGACTCACCAGGAGGCCTTAACTGATCCCCTGTACCGGACCTGATCCTCAGGTCCTGGGATTTCACATTTGGCCCTGGGGATTTCACCTCAGATAGCACCTACCATGCGCTGCTGTATCTATCCAGTTACTTGTCACTCTCTCCCACCAAGAATGTGAATTGTGGGAAGTTGAGACCGTGTCTGTCCTGTTCACGTGACATTCCCAGAACCTAGCCCAAGGGGCTGGCAGGAGGTCGATGACCCAGCAGAACCAAAGTGTACATCTTGCTGCATTAGAGATGGCACTGTGCTTGGAGTCTTCTGGACCGATCAAGTCCCACCTCTACTCCTCACCAGTTGCCTATCTCTCGGAGCCTCCATATGCTCCTCTGTATTGTGGGAATAATAATGCCTATCTGATGTAGATCGCTGTGAGAATGAAGACAAAATGAGTTAAAGGGCCCATCCCAGCAGCTGGCTCAATAGGTGTTCTCTGAACTGCTAGTTGAACACCTGATCCCTCAGAGACCAGTGGGGACAAGGGAGAAGCCAGGACACTGCATCCACCCAGCACTGGAGAGTGGAGCTTCCTCTGGGCAGGGCTTCTCTGACCCATGACCCACTTCCTCTGCTAACCAGTCAGATCTTCTGTGAGCTTCTGGCCCCTCAGGAGCCTCCCACCCCCACCCTGCCCCCAGCTTCTTCCTCCTTTGCTGGGAACTGCCACTCCGGACCCATAGCGGCTACTCAGTCCCCCTTCCCAAAGCCCTGCAGCCTGGAGCCCAGCTGCTGTGTCTGCTTCATCTCCTTTCAACCTCACCACAGCCCGGTTCCACAGGTGTTATCCTGTTTTACAGACGTGGAAACTGGCACAGAGAGAGTTAAGTATCCTGCCCGAAGCCCCACCCAGGTCCGTGTGCCTCCCAAATTATGGGGATGGGGGGTTGTGTGGAGAGTGACTGAGAGAGAGAGAGAGAGAGAGAGAGAGAGAGAGAGAGAGAGGAGAGAGAGAGAGAGGGAGATATTATGGAAGGTGAGGGGAGAGAGAAGAGGGGATGGGAAGGTTAAGGAAGATGAAGGGTGAGAAGGGTGAATGGGGGTGGATTTAGGGGTGTTTGCACACATTCTCCCTCTGCAGTTCTTTCATTCCTTCATTTGCAGAGAACCCAATTCAGCTCAGCTGACATTTACCAGTCCCTGCCCTGGAGGAGTGGGAGACCGATGAAGTGCTTGATGTGGTTAGCTTCTTGGCTACTTTCTGCCAGGCGGAAAAGGGTTCCAGGCCACAGAGCATCCTGACAGCCAGAACCAGACACCTGTAGTGTGGGGAGGAAGGTCTGAGGTAAGAGGGAGAGGGCCTCCTGAGGTGAACTGCAACCTACCGTCGTTCTTCTCCCTCGAATCAGCCCCTGAGGGACTTAACTTGTCATCTACCTCTCCTTTGAGGAAAATGGGCTTCTTAAAAGAAGCTGCCACGGAGGTGGCAGAGAGTTGCGCGGGTCCAGCTAGCCCTAGTGGGGCTTGCCTTCCACTGGGCACCCGGGCCAGAGCTGGGTGTGTGTGACAGCCCCTGGGTCACCAGGAGCGGGGCAAGGGCATTCTCGGGACTAGACGCCTGGGCTGTTTCTTCCTGGGATTCTCCCTTTCACTGGGTCTGCCCTCATCCCCAGGAGCCAAGCACTACGCCACTGCCTGGTGACTCTGAAGACGTCCCCAGACAACTGAGTCCTCCTGGGCAAGGGGGATGAGGCTAGCAGCTTAACTTCTCTCAGCTGAGGGTGATGAACAAGGAGAGGGGAGGAGCCCAGAGGGGCCCGGCCCTCCAGGTCTGGGTCCTGACTCCACCTCCAGGCTCCACTTCTGGTCCATCTTTCGAGGCGTCTGAAGCTACCACCCAGAGACCACCTCCCCTTAGATTCTAAGGTCCTTTCCCCTCCCCTTCCCCCTCCTACCTCTGTCCCACACCCACCGCACGGACCCTCTGCAGGAAGCAACAAGGTCCAAATGGAGTCGCTGACCTGCCCTCTGGGCAAATACAGAGCCCTCACCTTTCCCAGAGGCTGAAAGGGGACCAAGCCTGCGGGCCCCCTCCCAGGATGGATCCAGTGCTTTTATTTATCGAACCAGTCCCTGCCTGGCTTCAAATGAGAGGAAAGACATTCTTTCTCTTCCTAAAGGGAAATAAGAATTAACGATAGGTACTCTGAATTGAGAGCACCTGTGCCAGCCGTGCTGTGAAGTACTTTACATGCATCATCCTCTTCCTTCTTACAACAGCCCAGCAAGGTAAGTAAAAGTATTCCCATTTTATAGATGAAGAAAGTAATCCTAAATGACTTGTCCAAAGAGGTGGTAGCATTGAGGTGAAAATCCAGCTCCGTCGAATGCATCACGAATTATCCAGCTCATTGCATTTGCTGATAAGCATTGTGTTCATTTTCTCTAGTTTTGGCGTCCTTCTCCAACCCTCTTTCCCAACACTCCACAGACCTCTCCAGCTATCATAAAATTCCCCAGATTTGCCCACCCTGAGAATCTACTTTCCAGTAGATCCAGACCATGAATATAGTATTTCTGTTTCTTTTTTTTTAAATTTATTTATTTAATTTATTTATTTTTGGCTGTGTTGGGTCTTCATTGCTGTGCGTGGGCTTTCTCTAGTTGCGACGAGTGGGGACCAGTCTTCGTTATAGTGCACGGGCTTCTTATTGCGGTGGCTTCTCTTATTGTGGAGCACGGGCTCTAGGTGCGTGGGCTTCAGTAGTTGTGGCACGCAGGCTCAGTAGTTGTGGCTCACGGGCTTAGTTGCTCTGTGGCATGTGGGATCTTCTTGGACCAGGGATCGAACCCGTGTCCCCTGCATTGGCAGGCGGATTCTCGACCACTGTGCCACCAGGGAAGCCCTAGACCATGAATATAGTAGATGTTCAGTCGGGTCTTCCAAGAAGCAGATGCCAAGGCAGAATTAGACGTGCAAGAGATTTACAGGAGAGGGGCTTCCCTGGTGGCGCAGTGGTTAAGACTGCAACGAAGACCCAATGCAGCCAAAAATAAAATAAAAGAGATTTATAGGAGAAAACAGCTGTGAAGGATAAAGGGGGAAGGGAGCAGGAATAGGCTGGAAGTGTCTCCTGACACTTGTGAAAGGAGAGCGGGAAGGAAGAATTGGGTGGGAAGAGTCTCAGATTACAGTTCGGCTCTAAAAATCTCAGCAAGGCTAGCGGCAAAGGTTGCCTATTGGAGGAGTCCTCCACTGGGCAGAAATGGGGGGACATGAACATTGAAGCAGACTGAAAGGTGCAATGGCTGGGGACCATCCGCCAATAACACTTCTCACAGCAGGTTCTCTTGAAAGGAGATGTGAGCAGGGCACCTTCCCGGCTGCCTCACAGACCCAATTTGGCTACTCCAGCTTACGGGCACTGGTCCCATAGGTTCTGTTGACATAACGACCTTTTCAACAAACAGAAAACAGCTGTTGGCCTAGCAAGAGCCTCTAGATGTCTGGGGGATCTTGAACTAAACTCTTCTCCATGGCCATTCCTTGGCTTTATAGCAGGACTGCTGACCCTGCTCTTTTTTTGGGCTTTGGAAGACATGTGCCATCATCATGCCCAAATGCCCATACTGTAATTTTCAGGATGTTTTCTTTGCAGTTTACCCAACTCACTGCAGGTTTTGATTATCTTTGGTTTGTGTCACTGTCATTAATTGGGTGGATATTGGTGATCACCTTAGCTTAGCTCCCATCTCTCATAGGCTCACATCCTTTCAGCTGAAAGCAGATTTACCCCAAAATTGAGTCTGGCTGCTGGAGCCCCAGACTTCCCAGGGGATACAGTCTAGGCTTCCTCCCAACATTATCATCCAGCTGGACTTAAATGCCAGAGGCAGCCTGAGAGGGAAGCAAAATTCCCCTATAGGGAGCTTCTAGGGATCTTCATGCCCAGGAGTACCAGGTGTTCTGCAGAATCCCCCTGCTGAGCTCTTCATACTGCCTGGTCCTGGACCCCTCTGCACGGGAGTCCCCACAGAAACAAAGAGAATCACAGCATTAGTCCTGATTGTGCCATTGTGAGGAGATAAGGAGAACCAAGGTCACGCCAGGTCTTCTTCTGCCCCTCAACCCTCCAGCAGGAAAGCTCTGCCAGCCTCAGCCTTTGGGTGGGGCTTGGGGGACAGAAAAACATGAGGGGCTTGAGGAGCTCAGGAAGGAGGAACCTGTTGTATTACTCCTACCACTGGCCCTGCAGTGCCCCCAGACCTGCTGGGCCACTACTTCAGTGACTGTTTGCAGATAGAGGGAGCCAGGTTTCAATCTCACAGCAGCCCAGGGGGCAGGAAGTCATCAAGTATCCACTGGATCATTTCTCCATCTGCAGCCCTGGCGAGTTGAGCTGCCCCTGAAACCCCCACCAGAGCTCCAGCAGAGTCCCAAGAGTCCAGGCACTGTGACCAGAGGGGCCATCAGAACAGAGGAGTCCATGGGAGCTGGGGTCCAGGCTGGCCCCTGAGTGCTGCTCAGGGCCACAGGCTCCCTGGAGGAAGGCCCACGAACAGTGGGTTTGGCTAGGCAGGGGTGGGGGGAATGGGGCAAGGCTTTCCGGTTGAGGAGCTAAGCCAAACTGGGCGCCAGCTGATCCCTGGAAGTCCAGGCATGCCTCCCTCACACACACACCCCTCCCTGCCTCCCAGTGAGAGGAGCTACAATGAGCCTCCTCTACAGAAACTGCTGGATTCAGTGGCAGGCTCATCCCCTGGAAGGTGGGGGGCGGGGTGCCTGGGTGCAAGTGTCCAGCGATAAAAAGAGACCTGCTCTGACAGATGAAACAGAAGACTGGCCTAACTAAAGCAGGAAAGCCAGGAGGGAAAAGCCAGCACCTGTGCAACTTTGGGGGAGGAGTCTTCGATTTTTATCCACTGAGACTGCCCTCAGCCCAAGCACATACAGATAACAAAATGAATAGATGGAGGACTGGGGGAACGATGGGCACAGAGGAGGAAGAGAACAAAGAAGGGGACTCAGAGTCACAGCTCAGATGCCTGGCCCTCCCTGAGGCTTTTCTCAGCCACTGGCCAGTTAGCCCCTTCCTCCTCTGAAATCCCATGGTCCCTAATACATACTTCTAGGAGAGCTTTCAACCCATGGTGATACTTGTCTACCCCTGCCCTATAGGCCAGGAGTTTCCCAAAGACAAGGGCCAGACTTTGTTTCTCTTTGTATTTGTAGCACATAGTAGGTGCTCAATAAAGGTTGAATAAGTGGAAAGTCAGATGATTAGATGGATGAATACATGGATGTATGAATGGATGGATGGATGGATAGATGTGTGAGTGTGTGTGTGTGTGTGTACATACATGAATGGGAGGATGAATGGCTAAATGGATAAGTAGTTGGATGGATGGATGGGTGGATGGATGGATGAGGAAGTACATGGATGGATAGATGGGCAGCAAGGGGAATAGAGGAAGAAGAACTTCTGTAGGAAGAGACATCAAGAATCACAGTGAACATCTATCTGGTGGTTAGCATATTGCTTCGTAAAAGGAGAAGCCTGGAAGGAAGGAGAGATGTTCCACTAAGGAAACAATAGCACAGGTTTGGGAGATGGAGGAAGCAGCTGAGGCAGGGCTGAGTCCTGGGCTTGCTGAGATATAGGAGGGAAGGGGTGCCATGCAGGCTGGCAGGAACATAGGTGAGAGACAGATGTCATGAAAAGTAAAACCAAGAGAGGAGCCTGGGAGTCAAAGTGTGACCATGTGAATTCCCCAAAGGGAGGAACTTTCAACAGTCAAATGGCTTCCCTAAAGCAGAGGTGAAAGGGGGCCGTGTTCATTTGTTCCTAACCCATTCAGGCTTCCGGAGGAGGTGGGTCACAGCCTCCAATGGTTATTTGGGAGGGAGTCCCTTAAGGACACAGAGTGACCCGATTCCTACATTCCAGACTGTGCCACATGCCTCTGATGATCTGGAGCAAGTCCCCTCTCTCTCAGTTTCCTCACTTGTTACCTTCTCTACTTTGTGGAGTTATGGGGACTTGCAGACCACACGAGGAACGGAGTTCGACATGGCATAAAACTCTGCACAAACAGAAGGCTGGGGAGCGGCAGTGAGATGAGAGCTCAGTAGTCCTAGATTCAGATGCTTGCTCTCTTGCTCAGACACTTACTAGCTGGGCCAAGCGAACAAGCCTCTGAGCCTTTTCCCCCACAATTGAAATGAGCAAAATAACATCTGTCCTGAAGAGTTGTGAGGTTTCAAAATAAGTCACAGAACATGCCTGGCATTCAATTAATGGAAGCTAATATTACATACACGGGATTAATCAGGGCTGCTGTGTGCGACTGGATGGCCAGTGCCTGGACACGGGCTGGGTCTCCCAGAGGAAGGAGCACCTCTTTCTCATTCTCACAAAGGTACCGTCTGCTCTCCAAGTTCCTCACCTGGGAGGCTGCAACCATCAAGCCTGGGATTAAAAGTGTCCTTTCCAGCTCTAATCTCTTACCTTCCACAGAGAAGTCTCAAGGCCAGGCTGTGAACACGGCCGATGGCCTGGGCTGGGCCAGCCAGGATGTCCTCCTCCCAGAGGTGAGAGGAGGAGCTCTCGCTCTGTGTCAGGGACACCGTCATCACCCCTTGAGGGGCAGGCAGAGCAGGAAGGCCCCAGTACACGGAGTCCTGCCACCATCCCGTGCCAGAGCCTGTCATTCCATTTTCTATAGTCATTCTTTTGGTTTATGAAATCATCCCTTTGTAGATGCAAAGGTCAAACAATCATAGTTGATTAACTATTTCCTTGTGCCAGGCCCTCTGTGAAGAGATGTCTGTATACATCTTCTCCTATCTTTTATTTTGAAAATGTTCAAACCTACATGGAAGTTGTAAAAAATAGTACAGTTAGCACCCATAGACCTAGATTCATCATTTCACATTTTGCCACATTTGCTTTATCTCTCTGTGTATATAAGTTTTGCTGAATCATTTCAGGATAGACTACAGACATCGTAATACTTCACTCTCAGAATATTTCAGCATGTATCTCCTAAGGAAAAGGGCATTCTGCTCTGTAACCCAGTACCACAATCAAACCTAAGCCGTTTTACATTAATACAACAGTATTAAATCCATATTCAAAATTTCCCAATTGTCTGGATAATGTCTTTTGACTTTTTCTTTTTTGAACCAAATCAAGGATCATGCCCTGTGTTTAGCTGTCATGACTTCTTAGTCTGCTTTCATCTAAAACAGTCTCCCACCTTTCTTCCCCCTCTTTGGTCTTTCATGCCATTGACATTTTGAAGCATTCGAATCAGTCGTTTGCAGAATGTCCCTCAATTTGGATTTTCGGATGGTCTCCTCCTGGTTAGATTCAGGTTGGCCTGCATGCTTGATGCTCCTAGTGACTCTCTGATGGATTTTACTGCTCCATTTTACAGAAACGGAGGCTGAGGCTCAGAGAGGGCTGTCACGACACAGCTACTGAGAGGCTGAGCTGGGGTTGACCCAGAGAGCTTGGTTCTCAGTCTGTGCTCGTTCTCCACATTGCAGGGAGCAGCTGGGAAGTCTTATCCCTTGGGTTCTTTTTGTTTGTTTGTTTGTTTGTTTGTTTGTTTGTTTTTGCGGTATGTGGGCCTCTCACTGTTGTGGTCTCTCCCATTTGCGGAGCACAGGCTCCGGACGTGCAGGCTCAACGGCCATGGCTCATGGGCCCAGCCACTCCATGGCATGTGGGATCTTCCCAGACCGGGGCACGAACCCGTGTCCCCCGCATCAGCAGGCGGACTCTCAACCACTGCACCACCAGGGAAGCCCATCCCTTGGGTTCTTATGATGGATTTGTTTACCAGTCCCTTTTAGCACCTTGACCATGAATGGAGAGCAGATTTTGACAGGAAGTCAGAATAGTACGGGAAGAAGGGGGACACCCCAGGGGAGGGGCACCTTCAACATACTGTGGTGAATGCTAGCCTTCATAGCCTGGCTGGAACCCCCAAAAGCCCCTTTAAGCTGTTTTAGAAATTTGACTTTTTCTGCCCCCTTCTAGACCTCCAGTGGAAGTGATGGGGCACATCATACACACACATACCACATGCCACCGACTACCAAGGGTGTAACAGTCTTCTGGGTACCATCATCAGTGAATTCTTTCCTGTTGCCTAGCAATCCTAGGGCATTTCAGCCCTTCCCAGCCAGAGGGTGTGTAGAGAGGGCAACCACGTGACTGGTTGGGTGTCTCTTGCTCAGAAGGTCTCCTGGCCCTACTTCCTCTTGACCAGTTGCCTAACGACTAAGGTGGTCCTTGTGCTCTGTGTGGTTACTCCCTTCCTCATAGGAGATTAGCAGAATCTCTTTAGGGCCTTTCCTGCTGTCTTGGAAGCCACACAAGTGCACTATAGAATGTGGGGCTCCTCCCAGGGAGGAGTTCGTGAGAGCTAAGGGGAGGATACACATCTCACCCTGCAGTGAATCTTTGAAGAGAAGAGGGTGAAAGGAGAAGATCCAGGTAAGAACATCATCATGCCAGGACAGTCCAGCTTCTCATGGTATGGTGCCACAGAGGTTCGGAGGTCTGCTGGGTTTGGGTCCTGGCCAGTTGCTCTGTGAAGGGAGAGAGATGGATAATCCATGTACCTGGGCAGCTCCTTAATCATCTAAGCCTGCAGTGAATCTTGAATATGTGTGCATAATTTTAACCATTTTATTTGGGTAAGATTTAGAGCAAGGGTCCTTGACTGGGGTCCTTGGGACCCCTTAGAGGTCTGTGGACAGAATTCAAGAACTTGAGGGAAAGTTACATCTTTATTTTCTCTAACTTCTTCTGAGATATATAAAATATTATAAATTCATAGTTTTATGAAATATTAGTAAAATTGGTGACTTTGTCATTTATAGAAATCACAGATATATATTTATTTATTTATTTATTTATTTATTTATTTTATTTATTTTTTTTCTGTACACGGGCCTCTCACTGTTGTTGCCTCTCCCGTTGCGGAGCACAGGCTCCTGACGCGCAGGGTCAGCGGCCATGGCTCACAGGCCCAGCCGCTCCGCGGCGTGTGGGATCTTCCCAGGCCGGGGCACGAACCCGTGTCCCCTGCATCGGCAGGCGGACTCTCAACCACTGCGCCACCAGGGAAGCCCACAGATATTTTTAATACCACTTTTTTTTTTTAACTTTCCAAGAGGTCTCACCTTATTTTAGTTTTTAACATCTTTATTGGGGTATAATTGCTTTACAATGGTGCGTTAGTTTCTGCTTTATAACAAAGTGAATCAGCTATACATATACATATATCCCCATATCTCCTCCCTCTTGCGTCTCCCTCCCACCCTCCCTATCCCACTCCTCTAGGTGGTCACA